TCAAAGATTCTTCGTACTCACTCCCAAATAAGAGGATATGAATGTCCCTTTGATTTTAATTCAAGAGACGGAATATAGAAAATCATACATAATTTAACTGGATTCTACCAAATACCACAAAGCATTGACGAGCAGCGTATGCAAATTAAATCTAGATTCACACTTGAAAAAAAAATCACACTTTACTACATAATCAGATTTTTTCCAAGGTTTAAAAAAAAAAAAGAATAGGAAGGAGCGGAGAGAAGAGGAGATAATTAATTAGTTACATGTTATATGTTGGGACATACTCCCAAATGACGCAGAATTCAATCAAGCTATGTTTATTATGTCTGTTCCAAAAACAGCCCATTGTTTCCAAAAAGACAGTAGCCTCTTTTGCAGAGGACAGAAAGGATCCAGGTCTCTCAAGAAGCTAAAACTGGAAATAATGAACACAGGATTTAGTATTTACTGAACTGTAGATGAACTTAGCACTGTTTTTAGTTATGCAAACATCAGGTCAAGATCACAGGACAAAACTGGACTCCCCTATACTTCTTTCCCTTGCTTTTTTTTCCCACCTATCACTTCCCCTTTAGTTTACTTCTCTTTGCCTAAAAAGATCACTGTTTGCAGTAATCATCCAGCAATACAAGTGTTTCCTATAAAAAAAAAAAAATCTCTTTATGCCAGACAAATGTCAGTCCTTAACTGTCTTAAGTGCAATAATTTGGTGTAGATTTGGAAGAGAATTATCACAACTTGCCAGCTGAGGATTTACCACTGAGAAACGATTCTGTAGGAAGAACATTTGCAAACCATTTCCCAAAACAAGCAAAAAAAAGTCCCCAAACTCATTTTACAGATTGGTATTAAGTCACCGTTCTGGAAGAAGGCACTGGCATACTGAAATCAAGGAAGCTGACAATTAACAATTTAAGAGAAGGACTAGCTCTACCTATCGTTTTAGGATTAGATTATAGTCATATTTCTGCCACTTCCCTAAACAAGGCTTCAGGAAATTTATACACACTTCTAATTTCTACAGATTGGTCAGTCATAGCATTCAGTGTTCAGAACGAAACCATCTTAGCAAAGCTCCAAGAAGCCAAATTAAAACTATCAGCTTCAAGATCCAACTCACAAATCTAAAATCCAAATTGAAAAGAGAAAAAAATAGTAATCACACAATCATTAGGGTTGGACAGGACCTTCTGAAATCACTTCACCCTGCCACTGTTACCCACAAACTCTGATTTAGGTGGCTTCATGTAATAGTTTTTCCTTACACTTTGTTTTCCAAATTTCTCTTTTGCAACACAGACTAATTTTATCTCTGGGTCCTGGTTTATATTTGCCTACATTTAATCTTAGTTGCCTGTTAATTCCAGCCTGACGTCTTACAGGACATCAAGAGACACCTGTGTTTATGCATTCTCATTAAGTTACATTGATTGTGAACAACAGCACGCAAAAAATGTCAGAAATTACAAACTGAGGGTACAGGATGCAGAGTTTTTGATGGAAATTCTAACTGCTCCTTCACTGAACCTGAAATTAAGAACTTCTATGTGAATACAAGTGTTTTGATTGAAAAGTTTAAAAATGTATACTTTAAAGAATATAGAACAGATAAAGAAATTGGTTTTGATATGATTGGTTTTGACATTGCAAGGCATGGAATTTTCCTTTCACCTCACTAAAGCAATGCTGTATTTCGATGCTCACACACAAGGAGACACCACTTACATATATGCTCCTCAACAACCATGCTCTGGGTGCTGCTAAAAGTCTCCTTTACAAAACTTTAAAAGAAATCAATAGCGCTGTAAGTGGCTACTGGGTGAATGCTCCCTCTTACACTGCTGAATCAGAAACTTAAAAAGATTTCCTTCACATCTTCAATTCAAATCCTGTCATTATGGGTGGGTCCTGACACACTCAAAAGGATTAATGCCTTGAAAATACAACACCTGATCCCCTAAACAGACACTGAATTCTTTCCTGCTACGCAAAGAATAGGCTTGCAACACCCTAGTGGACTTAATGTTTCCCTTTTAGGATACCCTTTTATGCCAGGTTTACAGCAGTATCATTGGTCCAGTCATATCCTCAGTCCTAAAAAGAGAGCGTTTCTTTGGGTTTCTTAATAGAGGTATTAAAATAATTTACATAAAGAGTGGCCTTATTGAAAAGAAAGAGCTTAGCATGAATTCCTTCACAGACTTCCCCCACCACCCACTAACTAAATATTGTACAAAACCATCCCCATCCCTATTGGATAGCTGTCAAAGAAACCACAGATGTTTCAATTCACCTTTGGTTTAAAATATATAAATTTTTAAAAACTGAAGTATTTATCTCTCGATGATGCCGCACTTACGTCACTGGTGAAGAAACAATACCGCCCTTCTTCCTCCAAAAGCTATGCAAGAAACCAAAACAAAGACCAGGACTGGAAACGAATAGCACTGGTTCTAGATAATTCAACCAGGTGGCAGGATGGCAACAAATTCTCTGAATCTGATTAACCATAAGAACCGTTTAGGCCATTAAATACATTCATTTGATCGACAATTCATCCTTGCAATGACACACCTAAACTAGTTCCTCCCACCTATGAAAAAGATTTGATTTGAACACAGGTTGGCAGAAATTAAGACACCTGATCAAAACCGACTCACTTGTAGAACTCAGTATCCATTATATTACACAGTTTTGTCTGCCTAAACGCACCACGGATGTGATTCCCATTTTATTTTGTGCTTTCATTTCAGTCTTAGGTCTTTTAAAAGCAGGACTTTTGCTTTTATGCAGAGAAAATCTGAAGGATAGTTTCCAGTTCCAAATATTTTGGCTCAGAGCCCAGAGCCTTTGTTGCTCTGAGGTGAAACAGTCTCGGCTGAAGAAAAGGAAAACAGAAATTGAGTGAAAGAAGAGACCTTTACCAACAGCTACTGTTGGCTTCCCTTTGAAGGGATCTTGATCCTTGTCACAAGTTTCATCTCTTCACCTCCTCCTTTGTTCATCCTAATGTTTAGGTGCAGCAGCAGGATTACGTACAAACTACTGTAAGAACAGAAGCAAAGGGTAAATTGTATTTTCACGTATTTCACCTTGCCAACCTGTTGCCCTTGGCAAATTCAGGCCAGTAAAACAACGCTTGCAAGATTCCAACTACTATGTATTGCTTTTCTGCTGATGGAGGTCATTGACTATCTTTGTATCACATCTGTTTTCTCCGCTGAAAGCTGTTGGTTTTGCAGCTATCTTCAGTCTCTACGTTAAACCCAGGCCTATTTCTGATACATCTGTTTGAGGATGAAGAGGCACAGCTTTTGAATTTTGGTAACATACCCATCTTCTTCAATTTCGCAAATGCTGGAACACCATTTCTAATGAGTAATTATCATAGGATTATTAAAAAAAAAAAAAAAAAAGCTTCACAATTGCTCAAAAAGAGATTAAGAACTGCCCATGCCCGACTACAGAGATTAAGCCTCCATCTTCCTGGGGGAGAGCATTAATGAATGAGGCAAGCAAGCCTAGCTCCCCCATTTACATGTAAGCTTTACCTTTTGCTGAATACTTATCATAACACCATATCAAGACAACTAAACTTTCAAATCATAATGGTAACGTATCCTCACCTTCTTCCCAGAGAATCAGTAGGAAAATTTTCCAGTAAACATTGATTATTGCCAAGAAATGGAATGTGGCAATATTATTTTAATTATTTCTACAGTTCTTGCATACCTTCTACTTTCCCCTTCCTTACCAATACTGACTAATTAATTGCACAGAAATTGTTACCACTTCACGGGAAACAAAGTGTCCTACAGTGTAAAATACTGAGCTACCATTGCATCACTGCTTAGGTATTTACATAACCTACTAATTAAGTTTTGGAACTGTAAGTTAATTGCTGTAAAGGTCTCGAATATTGCTGTAAGAGCTTGGTTTTCCCCTCGTGAAATAATACCCATCTCCCGCAACCCTCTGGTACAACCAGAAAAGATGTTTCCATTCTGCGTTCTGCAAAGGGAGACTAAGAATGGCGTTGGTCCGATTTTCACGCTACCCATCTCAGACAAATGTTATCATGGCAGCTTTTATGAAAGCCTTTTTGACATCCTTCCATTAATTCTTCAGCTTAAATTCTGTAAGTTGTCCAGTGCTGAGGGTACAATATTAGCAAAATGAAACAAAATAGTAATAATTTTTGACATCTCCCACAGTCCTGACCAAGTTCAGATGTGGGGAAACTGACGGTTAAGTACACATGCAGGAACATTGATAAACACAGCCCGTAAGCTTTAGATAGCACAGTTCAGTAACTCTTTATGAATGTTGCTGTTATTCTGGAAGCTACACAAATTGCACATTATCATCCATCAACCACCAAGCCATGAGTCATTAAAGCACATAGTTTATCCACAGGTACTAAGCCAGATCGGTTTGTTCACCCCATGTATGAGACATGGGTAACACCTGTCTCCTTACTATTCAGGTGCTAAAATTAGAAAGGCAAACCAACGTCGCCGGCACAAAGAGTAATTTGTTTCTTCAACACCTTCACAAAATACATTCACACCCCTGAAAGTCACTTCCTTGAAAAAGCTGCACATAAATTACATAGCTGCTTTAGCAGTAATCTTGTTTTCATCAAATTTGGTGCAAATTTTACCACTGCTGTCGATGGAAACAGCGTTGTCTATACTTGAAACAAGGATTAGGTGAAAGCAAGCGGTGAGATAGCCTTAATTTTTTGCATTTTCAAGCAGAGATTTGGACGTTAGCCACAGTTGCAATTTCACCCTTTCATTTGACTTAGTTTTTAATCAGCTGAATTGAAATCTATGAAAAAAACCAAATGAATCTTAACATATTTATACTGATTCTTGGCATCTGTACTTTTGCTATGCACTTTCGGTCTACAAGCCGACTTTGGGGAAAAAACACTGCTTTGCAAGTATAAAACTACAGCAAACTTCCTGGTGAGCGTCCGCAAGCCTTACCTGCATCACAGTGACCACATGACAGGGATTCAGGAGGTAAATGACAGTCCTGGTGGCAAACTTGAACCCCACCTCCAGCCCGAAAATGAGACAGAGCACCACCAGCAGCACGTTCTTGCCCAAGCTCTCCTGCTTGGTCTGGGGCTGCTGCAGCAGGTGACCCTCCAGCTCCCCGAAATGCAGCTGCCGGAGCTTCCACAGGGACAGAAGGATCTCCACGACGCCCACGCTGAGGAAGACCAAACTCTCCAGAAAGCGCTGCTGCCCAGAGAGAAAGGCCGCGCATTCCGGCCCTCCGTTGCCAGCAAAGCTGGGGTCCACACCCCCGTACATCCAGTCCAGGAGGTTATGGAGGCTGTAACGAGACATGGTGGGCCGGTGCCTCTTCTCCTCCCCGTCACTCTCCAGGAACAGGTAGGAGCAAGGTGGAATCAAAGCCAAAATGCCCTCGGGCTGACGGAACATGAAACGCGAGGGCGGCCCCTCTGTAGTCCCCTTCCTCCCCAAGCCTCAGGAGAAGCAAGCTCAGGGCAAGGCTGATTTTTGGCGCTTTTCCTTTCGATGCCAGGACGAGACCCG